AACAACCTCATTTCCTCAGCCAAGGGAGCCAGGGACAGAGGAGCAAGCATTCACCCATGGGACAGACAGGGCTCGTGACGAGGATAATGACTGCGGATGTCATTCATTCGGTGACATCTACTGTGCCTCCACTAGATTCCAGGCACTGTGTTAAGTTCTTCAAATACAGCTATGCTCAAAATAGACAAAAATCCCTGCCATCAGGGAGTTTACATTTTAGTGAGGAAAAGGAACTATGGCAAATACCCCAGAGATGTCTCCTGTAAAAAGGAGAGGGGCTGAGACTGCCAAGGAGAGGGGAGTTTGCAATTTCAAATAAGGCGATCTGGGAAGGACTTCCTGAGAAGAGAGGGTCATGTAAAAAACTTAAGTCAGTTGTCATTATTCCTAAAATACGGGACTTGTTTTAACTAGAAAATCAGTATCTGGCTTTAGAGATTAGTTGGTCCAACTGCTCCATTTTGCGGATGAGAAAACTGAGGTTCAGGTGCAGAGACTGGATGGTAACAAGGAGGTGCCTTGCCCACAGTCACTTGAATGGGTAGTGGAGTCTGGAACTGGGCGTTTTGGGGTCTAGACATGGTTAGTGCCCCATCTCCGTGCTGCAAGGTCAGAGAAGCTCTGACTTCCCACGGCACGCACTCTTCTAGCAGGTGCAATAGATAAAAGGCTCCATCTCAAAGAGAGATGATGAGAGACACCATATAATGTTTATGAGCCGGGCTGGTGGTCAGCATGCCTTCCTCCATGCGGCACTCCCACACAAGTGGCCATAAAAGCTTTACAGTGACTGGACAGCGAACGGCCTGCCTCGACCACTGTGTCTTCTCAGCCACTCTGGCCTCTGCTTCTTTACCATTGCAGCACCTTGTTAAAGATGACCGTGGCCAAAGCAGGGCTTCTGGAGAGAAATCCCCAGGTTGTGAAGCATTCATGCCCCCTACATCCAGCTGCCAGCTGGGGACATGCTGGGATTCGGGGCCAGGTCTATAGGCTGGACTCCACAGTAAAAAGGGCCCAGGTTATCACTGGGGTACAGGTGATCAGACCCTGCCTCCAGCTACTATCCCTAAGTACTGGAAAGTGACCATGCCACTGACTCACGGTCAGAAGGCATTGGACACTGGTCATGTACACATATGGAGGAGTCCCCACACTCTGCTTTGGAGACCCCACTCACAGTGCTCCTAGGACTGAATGGGCTGGTGGATGAGCCAGGATCCCTGGGTTTCTTCTCCCCCCAGGCTGCCCAGTGTGTGTACTGATCAGATGTGAGTGGCTAGCCTCGAGCACCAGCCATGCGTCTACCTGTCCATGCCCCAGAAGCAGGAGTAGAGGGGAGTGAGGAGCCTGCCTTGGGCCTCTGGGAGGTCATCTGGTCATCTGCCTCCCAACGGCCCTCCAGGAGCACAGGGCCAGCCCAGCTGCACGTCTAACTCCCCAGGATGGATGTTGGCTACTTTCTTCTTCAGCAGCCTCTCAGAGCTGTCGATGTTATTCAGACCAGAAGGAATAACAGTTCCTAGTTGGCCTCTACCCCTTGGCTCAGCCTTTGGCTCTCTCCCTCGCCCCATATATTATTTGAAAGCATGTGTGTCCTTTAACCCTCAGTTCAAATTCCACCTCCTCCACCCATCCCCCCGGATGACATTGCCCTCTGCTCGAGCTCAGCGTCTGCATATCCAGGTGGTCCTTGTCCAGTCATCTTTGGGGAAGTATCTTGCCTTCCCTAGTAAATGAGAAGCTCCCCGAGGCTCTGTCTGTAGCTGAAGCATATTTCTACTTTCCCCAGCCCACACGGAGCATAATGCCTTCACGGAGCAGCATTTCATAAATATTAGATGAATTAGTTAATTAATGAATTAACCTGCCTTAGTAACTTGCTCCATTATCTAAATTCCTCCTTACTTGAGAGAGACAGTCTTCTCCTTGCCTGAACCTTCCCACCTGATTTCACTGTCTCTATCCACTGGCTCTGTCCTCGATGGAAATGTGATATTCTGGCCCTCTGTGTCTGGGCTTGGCCCTCCAAGCCCCTTAGCTTTCTCCCCGCTCTGCAGAAGCTTCCACCTCCTTGCTTTGCCCACACATCCTGTTCTCCAGCCCCTCCTTCTTGCCTCCACTCTCTCCTCGCTCGTGTTGAAGCATCCACAGGGCTCTCAAATCACAGCAGCTGGTTTGGTGCTTTGACAGCAATGGCCTGGCCCCTAGGAAGGACCAAGAGACAAGCCTCCAGAATCCCAAAGCATCTCAAGGAACAGCACAGAGCCCCCTCTCATTCTGGCTGAGCCCCCATCCTTTGCTTGCTGTACCCCCTGCCCCCTCGCAGGTGAACTTCTGAGGTCACCCAAGGAAATAATATTCAGACATACGTTCATTCATTTCCTCACCCAACAAGCAACAGTCAGGTACCTACAGTTCGCTGGATGAATAAGACCCAGTATATAAGACCCCCAGGGAGGGGGTAATGCAGTTACCCGATGACCATGCGAGACCTGCCCTAATCCAGGTGTGGACCGAAGGCTGCAGGGCTGTGTGGAAGGAAGGTGGGCTTCATGGAAGAGGTGGCATTTGAGCAAGATTTGAAAGGATATGGGGGTGTTTCCAAGGAGGCCTTTGTGGGCAGGAGGACTTGGCCAGCATTGGTTCTTCTAGGCCTAAGGAAACAAGCTGGGCAGAACCTCTGGGTCTCTGCTACAATCCGTCAGAAAGCCCAAGGGGGCCAGGAGGCCTAGATCAGTCCTAGGCACACATACACTGGGAAGGGGTCAGCAAAGGCCCAACAGGAGGTCTCAGGAATGGGCACTGGGCCATTGCTAGAGTCAGGGCTCCTGAGAAATATATCTGAAGATATCCATGGCCCAGTAAACCACTCAGAATACTGGGGGCAGAGTCCCACCCCCTGGAAAAAAGGCACTCCGAGACTGGTATGAGGTGGTCCGGGCCATGACCAGAACCCCAGAAAAGCTGGCTGGGATTTAGGTTCCAGGTGGGTCTGGAATAAGGTGGATCAAAGCCAGCTGGTGGGTGAGGAGCCCGTGTGGTGAGGGGTGAGAAGGACACACGCTCAGCGGTGCTCACCTGGGGACTGAGGCATGGGGCTGAGGCGTTCACTGCATGCTGGAGGAGCCCAGGCTGGAGGGAGCAGGAAGTGGAAGATGACATTGGAAAGATCAGCTGAGGGCCCTACTGAGGGTCATAGAGGCCACATCCCTCCTAAATGTCACTTGCTCTGGACCTAGAGCTCCTGATCAAGAACTCTCCCAGGATGCAAAGGGCTACCTGAGTTTTCCCATGTCCATACCTGGCTGCTCCATGCAGGCAGCTCCCTTCTGAGCCCTGAAAGTATAGGGGTGCCCTGAGGGCTGAGGGCCATGCATCTGACACCATCCATCCTTCCCCCCAGAGCCCATCCCCCACTGTGGCCACTCTGGATGGGCCCAGGGTGGAGAGTAGCAGGCTTCCAGGGAGGGGTGGGGCTGGTGCCTGGGAGAAGGCCAGAGGACTATGCACGGCCTTGTAATTTAATTATTCAACTGCAGGAAGGAGATCTCATCTATTGGGTGCTCATCCTTGTTAAGCTAATTGTCTATCTCCTTCACTCTCTTCTCCCCCACTTGCTGGGGAAGTCGCTGCAGCCTAATTGAGTTATCATAAAGATAATGGCTGATGCTCTAGCCAGAGCCGAGAAAGGAGGATCCATCTCACAGCAACTCAGGCTCCAGACAGGCCCCCCCAGGGGCTGAGATGTAGGCAGTGTTGGTAGGGGCTGTAGGCTGCAGTTCTAGCGGGGGGGAAGGCTGGGTGGATGGTGCTTTGCCCAGAAGCTGTCCTGCAGAGGACAGGGCTTCCTCTCTGCTCTTTCCTGCCACCTAAGGGAGCTCACCTACAAGACAAAAAGATCTCTGGACCAGGTGTGGTGGCTCCTGCCTGTGAACCCAGCACTTTGGGATGTCGAGATGGGAGGATGACTTGAGACCAGGAGTTTGAGACCAGCCTGGCAAGCATAATGAGACCTGTCTCTTATTTAAAAAGAATTTTTTTAATTAGCCAGGCACGGTAGCTGCAGTCCCAGCTACTTGGGAGGCTGAGACAGGAGGATCGCTCAAGCCCAGGAGGTTGAAGCTGCAGTCAGCCGTGTTCATGCCACTGTTCTCCAGCCTGGCCGACAGAGCAAGACTCTGTCTTAAAAAAAAAAAAAAAAGGGATCTCTTGTCTCTTGTCTGGGCATGTTTGGGGCTTTCTGGGAGAAGCAACCGAGCCACATGTTAACGAGACTGGGACTGGGAGAGCAGACCAGGTTTCAAATCCCATGGTCATATCTTATGAGCAGGGCAACCTAGGGCTATTTATTCTCTGCTCTGAACCTGAGTTTTCTCATCTGTAAAATGGGGACTTTATTGGAAGGAGGACCCAGTGAGATCGTGTTTATAAAGCAACTGAACAGAGATGTGAGCTTCCACGTGCCTGTCCTACGCTCGATGATAATGGAGTGGGGTGAAGTGGCTGAGGGTCCTGTGGGAGAACCCAGAGTGCAGCACCCTGGTTTCAGATGGGCAGCCATAGGACATGCCTGGGGCACAGTCCCAGCACCGCCCTTCCTCTGTTGCCACCGGGCAACCCACCTCTATCCCAGATGCTCAGAGACCTGTGGGATGCATCACTGGGATGAGAATGTGGGTACAGGGGTGCCAAGGAGCAGCAGGGAAGCTGGAGGAAAAGGTGAGCAGAGGTCAGCAGGCATGAATCCAATTCCAGGACATATAGGAAGGTCAGAGTCAATGCAGGCCAGCCGAGGCCCTGAACAGAGACAGTGGGTCCTGACCTGGGTGGGAAGAGGGACAGGAGCCAGGCACTATTAGGAGACCCTGCGTGTATAGGAGAATAAGGCCCTAGTTCCCCAGGGGAGCTCTGTCCAAGGCCCAACCCAGAGCCCCAGGTAAGGCGAGGCGGTGTTGGCCAGGTGAGAGTCCGACGGCAGCACCCCCTTGCCTTCCCAGTACCCCCTCTGATCCAGCCCTTTGAGTTCCCACCTGCCTCCATCGGCCAGCTGCTCTACATTCCCTGTGTGGTGTCCTCGGGGGACATGCCCATCCGAATCACCTGGAGGAAGGACGGACAGGTGATCATCTCAGGCTCGGGCGTGACCATCGAGAGCAAGGAATTCATGAGCTCCCTGCAGATCTCCAGTGTCTCCCTCAAGCACAACGGCAACTACACGTGCATCGCCAGCAACGCGGCGGCCACCGTGAGCCGGGAGCGCCAGCTCATCGTGCGCGGTGAGCAGGGACAGGCCAGCCTCAGGGGAGGGAGGAGCCGGCTCTGCCTGCTGCTAGTACTACACTCCCTCTAGGTTTCCAACTCAAATCACAGGCTTGTGGAAGGTTGGCACCAGTAGGGCCCTTCAAGAACATCTTGAAAAAAAAAAATGAACTCTTGTCTCTTGTGCGGGCATATTTGGGGCTTTCAAAGATGATTTTTTAGGACCTTGCTAGAGCCCAAACCTCTTATTTTCCAGGGCGGGAAACCGAAACTCTGAGCAGAGGGACACTTGCTCAGTTTAGTCAGTGGCAAGGGTGGGATTAGAACTCAGAACTCCCAACTCCCAACCCAGTACTCAACAAAAGCTCTCAGCATCTTGGGTTTCAGAAGCTGCCTGCTTCCAACTTTATCATGGCCCAGATAGGGCTGCCCTCAGATGGAAGGTGCTCCAAGCCCTAGGAGACCCAGCAGAGGCTGAAATGGTCTGTCTCCCACCCTTCAATCCTTCTGCAGTGCCCCCTCGATTTGTGGTACAACCCAACAACCAGGACGGCATCTACGGCAAAGCTGGTGTGCTCAACTGCTCGGTGGACGGCTACCCCCCGCCCAAGGTCATGTGGAAGCATGCCAAGGGTAAGCCTCTGGCCGAGCCAGAATCTCCAAGAAGGGCAGGGACGGGAAAGGGAGGATGCTCTGATGGGATCTGAACCTATTCCCTGCATGCAACTCCTACCCCTGGGTGGGAGTCCTCGGATCTGCACCTCACTGGACCCCAGGCTACACCTGACCTGAAGTCATCCTCGGCCACCCCGGGGGGTCTGTGGACTAGGAACAGCCATCATGCTGACTCCATATTTCCTCTTGTCCTCCCAGACACAACCACTCCCCTCCCACCTCCAGCCCCAGAACTTAGTGTATACCTGCTTTCCCTACCCCACCCTGCCCTGGGGTCCCAGAGCCTTCAAGCCCCCTGCTTCTCACCTGTCAACCTTTTCCAGGGTCAGGATCCTTCTTGGAGCCTAATTTCATCCCAAGGATGCCTTTGTTTTCTGAGCAAGGCCCAATCCTAGACTGTGTTCGTGACTGACACTGGGAAATGAAGGGGCAGGGGGTGCCCACAAGGCCCCCTTGGAGGATGCCAGCTTCTCTCCCCGGCCTGGTTGCCTAAGACCAGGCAACTGCCACTGAACGGCTCAGTCTTCTCTACCTTCAACCAACTGGCCCAAAGACAGCTCTTTCTTCCTCTCCAAGGAATTCACCCCAAAGAAGCTCCATGCCAGTGTCAAAGTGGGCATTAAGCTGAGGCTCCCAACCCCATCTCCCTGCCTCAGAGCTGGGGCAAGGCCAGGCCTCTGGGGGTTGTGGGTGGTCTTTTCTGTCGCCTGCCAGGAGTTGTGTGGCCTTGGCACTTTGCGGATGGTGCAGCTCTGCTACAAAATGGCCCTAGATCAGCAAGAGCGAGGCATCAGGGCCATTCCTGGAGCACTCTCAGCCTACGCCCAGTGCCAACTCAGCCCTCCTAACAGCTGCCTTCTTCCAGGGAGCGGGAACCCCCAGCAGTACCACCCTGTGCCCCTCACTGGCCGCATCCAGATCCTGCCCAACAGCTCTCTGCTGATCCGCCACGTCCTAGAAGAGGACATCGGCTACTACCTCTGCCAGGCCAGCAACGGCGTAGGCACTGACATCAGCAAGTCCATGTTCCTCACAGTCAAGAGTGAGTCCTGCCCCCGCACGGGCCCCCAGCACCCCCTAATCACAGCCAAGCCCGGCTCTGCACTCTCCCTGCCTACCCGCTTGGTTTCAATGCTTTCTTCTATGAAGGGGAAGCAGGAAGGCTCCCTAGTCAGAGGTGGGCTTGGGACCCTTGGACGGGGCATTCAAAGGCACTGTCATGCAAAACAGGGGCCTCACCCTGAAAGGACCCAACTCACCGCACCCTGGTCACAATTGCTCTGCTGCAATGTCATGTGGCATCCCATTTACTTTGGTCTGTAGGCTGGCGATTCTGAATGATCCTATCCATTTATTTTTGCCACTTCATATACACCTGCTTGTGTACAACCTGTTTGCAGCTTAGAAAGGAAAATACCATATACACAATGTAGAAGAAGGGCCTATGGTCAGAAAACATGGTCTCCAATTACAGATCAGCCTGGTGAGCTGAATGACCTTGGGTGAGTCACTTCCCCTCTCTGTACTCCAGTCTCCTCACCTGTGCAAGGGTTCCATTCCCAGCCTACCAGTCTCACGAAATTGTAGTGATTCATGCCAGAACTGATCGTGGAAAGAGGAAGATGCTTTGGAAAAGCCCATGGAGCAATGCAGTTCATTATGACTGGGTGCTGCACCCATGGCTTCTAAATCCCCCGACCCAGAGCTGGCCTCAACAGCCTTACAAGCACATCGCTTATTTGCTCCCAGGATTTTCTTAAGCCCCATACAAACATCCCTACTGTTTGAGCCTCTCCCTTTACACCGCAGGGGTCTGTATAATGGGTCCCTGGGAATTGCATCAGAAGGGCCATGTCCATATAACCCTGTGTCCAGACGTGGCTGTAAGGATCTGAGTGTTAGCATCTGACCTGGCTAGGTATGAATCTGGGGGCCAGGACTTAATGACGGGACCTTGATGAGCGTACTTGGCCTTGTGTTACTTCATTTTCCTGATCTACACTATGGGCGGGGTAGGGGGGATGCGGGTCGTCATAAGGTCTTACCTGGTACATTTTATGTCAAGAGCGAGTCAGATGGTGTAGGTGAAGCAACCAGGATGGTAAGTGGCTGGCAAAGATTTCATGGCCTGGCCAGCTTTGTTATTTGTAGTGGCAGTCCCTCCCGGGTGCAGGTGGGAAAGCCTGCTGATGACAGAGCCCGGTGTGTGGTCTGCCCAGCCTCCCCCAGAGTTCCCTCCTTTAAGAATCATAGCTTCTTCATTGCTTGCCAAAGCCCGAGTTCAGCTCAGCACAAGACAGGGAAGCCCCAGCGATCGATGCTCAGGGAGCTCCGAGCCGGAATCCCCGCCCTGGGGAGCAGCTTCCCTCACACTATCAAAAAGCACTTTGTCCTTAATAAAACCAGGCAATCAATCTACATCCCTCAGCCTGGGAGAGCTTGGCTAATTCTGGCTGCGCAAGGCAGGGGAAGAGCAGGCACCTCCGAAACCCTCCTCATCTCCCAAACTTGTCCATGCTTTTTTTGCTGTTGTTGTTGTTTGCCTTTTCCTTTAAGTTGGGGGATTCCACTGAGCTGCTGGCTCTGTGGCAGCTGGTAGCTCCATGGAGATGCAGGGGTCACAGGTGCCACAGGACGCAGTGGTCAGGAGCTGGGCTGTGCACAAGGAGACCTGCATGCCTCAGGCTATTGCTAATGCCCTGGGCCCCAGAGCAAACCACTTCCCCTAGAGGGCCTGCACTTTTTCTATGCCACTCTCACTTCCCAACCCAGCAGCAGCTGCAAAGAGCTCTGAGGGGTTCAGAATGAGCATATTTGCTAAATCCAGGGCCACATCCTGGACACATGCTGCATAAAACCTCACGCTCCACACACACACTGGGGTTTCCCTCTGGAGCCCTGTCTTCCTGAAGGAATGGTGGGAGTTTTTTACCATGCCAGTCCCTCCTGGGCAGAACCTGGACCTGGATTCCTCCTTCCTTTCCTCCCCCTTGTCCTCATCTTCGGGCCTTGACATGTTTCTTTGCTTCTCACCTGGTAGGGCTGGTGACACACCTTTCTTACAGCTGCTGTCTCTCCACACTTCAGGGTCACATCATCCTGCTCAGGGGACCTCCGATCACCCGCAGCACCTCCCAACACCCACCCATGGCTCCCGAGTGGCCTTCTGATGGGCTACTCTCTGGCCTCGCCATGCACGCACTCTATCTCACACACCCTCTGTTCCTGGCCCCCTTCCTGTCACCAACGCCCATTCTGGCCCCACTCTCCCCAGTGACCTGCCCCAGCCATCCTAGAGGCTCTCACACCACCCAGAACTCAGCAGGAGGGGAAGAGGAAGGGCTAAGGGCATTGGAAGGCAGCAGCCATGGAGGCCGCAGGGGCAGGGCCTCCGTCTGGGGTTGGAGGGCTGACTGTCGTTGTGTAGCAGCCTGCGTGATTTTGCACTGTATCTGGCTGCTAGAGGACACTCCTGTGACAAAGCAACACTGTTGGGGGGTGGAAGTGGGCACTGGGCAGCCCATGGTGTGCCTGGCCTTCTTGGGAACATTTATTCTGCCTCCTGCCGCTGCCAGACAGGTGCCTGTTCCAGGTAACCTACCTGAGCTACTGCCCTGTACACTTGCCTGCCCTTTTCTTTCCCTCTTTCACTTTTCCTCAACTTGACAGCAGTTCTCCCAGTCCCCCATTCTGATTTCCGTTTAAAGGGCATGGGTAGGTGGGACCTTCAGGACCTGGTCACCCATGGCCTCCCCAGGGGAAACCATTCTCATTATCCCCCAGTCCATTTCAAACGCCCACACCATGGCCCACTTGCAGAGCCAGCCACACAAAGATCTACCATTTGCAAAGCCAATTTCAAGGTTTGCCTCAATGCCCCTGACACACTCGGGAATGTTTTGACCCAAAATAACTTTACCTTTCTAGACCTCACATTTTTATGAACTCTCGGAGAGCAAACTGACCTTAATCCCCACTTTGCCTGAGCAGAAGAAAGAAAATAACTCTATCAAAGGGAATATAACAGAAGAGAAAGCCTCCAAGTGTCAGACTGGGCGTTTGTGGCTGGCTTCTATTGGGGAGTGTCTCTACCATTAATCCCTGCAGCTTCCAATGATAACTCAGCACTCACTTAATGGTGCTCCCTGAGCACTCACTTAATGGTGCTCCCTGAGCACTCACTAAATAGGTCAATAAAATGCAGTGATTAAAAGCATGGACTTTAGAACCAGACATCCCTGGGTTCAAAACCCAGCTCTGCCACTGGATAGTGAAGTCCAGGACAACAGTCTCTGTAAACCCCAATGTCCTCCCCTGTAAGTTTGGAATTACTGTGTAGGACTTTGTGCATTGGTAAGGTGTAATTGAGACCATGCACAGCAATTAATACAGTTTTTGGTACAAAATACACATTTGATAATTAGCAGTCATTAGTTTTAGGTGCTAGAAACCCAGTGATGAGTAAGAGCTACCATTCTCAGGGAATTCAGAATCTTGAAGATGAAATAGACAGATACCCAAAACAACTATGATACACAAAATTATAAATGCCCTAAAAAGCTATGAACAAGGTGATACAGAAAGAATCTGAGATAGAGTCATCAATTTTAACTCTGGAGGTGAAAAAAACAGGTGTCAAGAAAAGCTTCACCAAAGCAATAGTCTCTAATTAGGGCTTGAAGGATGAGAAGGATTTGGACAAGGACCAGTTGGAATGGAAGTCATGCCCTTTCGGGGATGTGGAATCAGCACAGTGTGGAGGCAGAAAGGCATATAAATGTCCGGTGGTGAGGAAGGAACTCAGGGCGTGTGGCAGAGAGTGATGGGGAGAATGAGATGTGAGATGCTACGGCCTTTGGAAGCTAAATGTTTTCTTTCTACGTAGAGTTGACTCTTGATACTAAGCTCCAAACCGGAGTTCCAGGAGTCTGAGGGTCTGGTTGGGGATCGGAATTCCCAAGCTAGTTCTTGGAGAACTGCTGTATATTATGCTTTTCAGGATCCCAGGGAGCTAAGGGTTTATTAGAGCAGGCAGTGGTTTTCCAAGTCCTTGGACATCTTTGATGGCACCCAACAGGCCCAAGTGGTCCCCACTCCTCCCTGAGTCTTAGCATGCGTTGAACTCTCGAGTGCCTGAGCATACAGTCCAGCATTGCCGCCTGCATATACAGCACTTTCCAGTTTACAAAGCTGTTCCCATACCTTGCTTGTGAGGTTGGTGGGCAATAGCTCCTTCTCAGAAGACGTCAGAGATCAGATCAAGGCCACTGGGTTAAGTATAGTCCCAGCTGAGGCCAGAACTTGCTTATGTGGACTGATGGTTTGGTAGAAGGAACACAGACAGAGGGAAAAGGCTGGGTGCTAGTCCTGGCTCACACCCACTGGCTCTACATCCTTGAGCTGTCCCTTCCTTTCTCTGGGCCTGTTTCCTCATCCATACAGTGAGAGGCCTGAACTAAGATCTAGTCACTAGATGACCCCCGTTTCCTTCCAGTACAGACTAGCTGTGACTCTGGCAGCACGGGTAATCTTTTCAAGGTACCAGGCCACCTCCCAGAACTTGGTTGAAAATAAATGTGATTAACAGAAGAAAATGACACATCCACAGAGCTGCCTTTTATCTCCTTTTTTAAAATGTATTCAAAAAAGAGAGAGAGAGAGATAATGACCAAAAGGAGGAGGAGGTAATTCCCCCTTCAGCTGATATGTGGGGAAAAAAATAAAGCATCTTCAAAGAGAGTTCTTCAACCAGAGGCAGGTACAAAATCAAGCTGCCTAGTCCCAGGCTGAGGGAGGCTGGCTGTGCTTTGAGGCAGCCATCGTACGGCAGTGCCCTCCCGGGGCTCGGCCATCCCCTTGTCCAGCACGTGACCTTATTAGACAGGTCTTGTTACACCTCCCAGACTCTCCTCCACTCTGTGAAGGCACCAGAGATTGAGTCCCAACAAAGCCCATGGCCAATTAAACCCATAAGGGCTCTTTGTTTGGTTTGAGTTTTGATTTATTTGTTTAGCAAAATGTCAGACCAATTAAAGTGAGGTC